CCCCACAAATTCCTATATAATTAAATTCCTAAACAATTAAGCAATTATTAAAAATTCCAGAGGTGATCAATAAAACATCCCCTCTAAGGACTAATTCTTCCATTTGGGGAGTAGGACTAGGACCCTGCCGGAAATAAGCAGACCTGGCGTCCCCAGTCTCCACCCATTCACAGGAAGCATATGATTTCCAAGAATCAGCCCAGGCCCTCTGGAGGCCGCCTCCCATGGGAGCCTTGCCAGGGTAACCGGGCTTCCCAGTGAGCCCAGGACAGTCTCAGTTTCAGCACAGAAATTCTGGCATCCTGAGCAACCCTCCTCTGCCAGGCAGCCCAGGACAGGTAGTGGCCCTGGCTGTGACCTGGGACCAGGAGGGAAGGAAGCGACAAGACCTGGATGCCAGGGGCACAAGGCGTGCCACCAGTAGCCAAAATAGAGTTGAGGGCTCAACTAGGGGCAGGTGCCCCTTTTCTGGTGCTTCTCCACCAGGCACTCTGGCTCCCCTAAGAAATGAGGTCTCCAAGGTAAGGACAGCCCCATCTGTCTCATCTGTGGCTCTCTTCAAGACGTTAACATTCACACCAAAAATATGCTCTCCTTTTACTTCTATTATTAGGGCTATGGTTTTTCACTACAGTTGAACTGTTTTCCCAAATGCAGTCATAAATCCTAAGGGCTTCAAAATCCTAAATTGCATTTGAGATGCTTATGCCAGATGCATACCCTTAACACCTGCACGTCAGAGAAGGAACCTCTGCTTGGAAGATGCGGCCGTGCTATCTATATCTGGATTCCTGGATTCCTGGAACCGGCGTCCTGGGCTCAGGCCCTGTCCTGTCTCTAACTCCCCCTCCAGCAGGCCTTTGGCACTGAGTGTTTGGGAGGCTAGGTCTCCCTCCCCCACTCCTCTGAGCAATTTGAGAACTTTGCTCGCCTCCTCCACTAGAATGTCAACAGACAGGGAGTGACACCATGGACCTCACCACGACTTCCCAGCTGGGTAGGCTGGCCCTCCTCTGCTTTCTGCTGGGCTTGCAGGGGTCCCTGGCTGCAGGTATGTTGGGGTGCTGGGAGAGGGTGGGTGGAGGTTTCCCTACAAACCCTGTGAGAAGGACAGCCCGGCTGTTGGTAGCCAGCCTCCCAAACCTCGCCTTCATTCCTGTTTACAGGGACATTCTTGTTCAGGAGCATTTGCAGGCTCCAGTGTGATCTGCTTTCCTTCCAAAAAGCAAACAGCACCCAGGCACTAGCTGGGTGTTGGCAGAAAGGCTGCTATTGTTGGCACAGACTTTGGCAGAATTATTTTTAGAAGACTTTAGGGAACCTGTGGCGCTTTCCTGGTCACCAGTGGGGACCCACACGTGCAGTTGGACAAGAGTACATCATCTGGGGCTCAGGGCTGCCAGTGGGGGGGTGCGTCCCTCTTGCTCTGCTCTCCTGGGCTTTCAGTTGGCTAGTGCCAGGGAAGGCGTGAGGATTCTGGGCTACACTGCTCCACCACCATGGCTATGACCTCGGCCACCCTCCTCGCCCCTCGAGGATGCTAAGAGGCCTGCATGGGGGAACATGGGGACACACTTTATAAGCTGTCCTCATCGTGACTTTACAGTACTGAATGGCGGCCCTGGTGCAAACAAGCTGCTGACACTGTCCTCTAAAACCTGGATCACATTGCCCTTCAAATCCCACAGCGAAAAACTAGCCAGGGATCTAAGTGGTGGTGTCGCCTGCCCTAATGACAACAGGTGCCCAAAGGAGAGCATGTCTTGCTCCAGAGAAAGTCAGTGCTGCCAGTTGTTCTTTCTTAGGTGAGGAAAAGTGACAATTTGCGGGTGACTTTCACCATCTTCCTTGATCTAGTCTGCCTTTTCCAAATGCTCTGTAGTAACCATGTTACTTTATCAGAGTTGTCTCTGGGTTCCTGAGAGCTTTTTGGTGCACGTTTGCTCCCCTCATGGGGATGAGTCACCCCGGTGAGCAACTGGCTCTTTCGTGGTCTCTGGTCTCTAGTGTTGTCCATCCCTCCCCCTCCCCATGTGGCCTCCACAGTCACCTCCCCTCCCAGGAGCCTCCATTCTTTGATTTTTTCCTCAAGTTCTTCCAAACCAGATCCATTCCCCAGGCATGGATGGGTGCAACTCCCTGGTTTTAAAGATGGTCTCCCTCAGCCTACGTGGCCAGGAGCTGGCATCTCTTCTTCTCCCCCCTGGCCCCACATTCTGTAACCTTGTCACCTGTCCTGGAGGCCCCCTGACTCGCTCGCTCACCAGCAGTTTCCAGGTGGGGGGTGATGGCTGGAAGGATGCAGCAGGGACACCCCGCCCCACTTGGAAGCCCGGGCCTCTCCAAAGCCGGCCTCCTGTTCATCTCTCCCTGGGACTCCTTTCCACGCTTGGCTTCTGCCCTCAGCACTGGCTTCCTTCTGCTTTCCTCCGCTCACCCACGTCACCTGCTCCCTGCTGGGGTCACACACACACACACGGCAGGGCCATGCCAGGAGCTCTGAGAGTTTTCCTGCCTCATCTGCGCCCTTGCCTTCAACCCCCGCATAACTGTCACCAACCTCAACATCTCCACCTCCACAATCAAACCCCCTCCTAGGGTGCAGATGCCATGTCTGCCTGGGTATCCAAAAGAATCCTCAAATTTAAGGCATTCACTCCGGTCGCATCACTCCCACCGTGTGGCTTTGGGTGAATTCTAAGCCTCACCCACATTTCTTTCTCATAAGCGAAATGGGGGACACCAGCTACCTGCAAGTAACGATGGGGGTCAGTGTGAGGCCAGGGGGAGGTGAAGCTGCTCTGCCCGCCTGGCAGCAGGCAAGTGCTCGTGCCCCCCGCCCCAGGAGGCCGGAGCCCTTGCCTCAGGCAGCCTCCCGGGTGGAGAGTGGGGCAGACGTGGAAGGCGGGGGGGAGAGCAGGCTGTGGGGCTCAGCGCCTTGGGGAGCCTGGCTCGGGAGGCAGCGGGGCTCTTCCCCAGGACAGGGCTTGGCGGGCAAGGCAGGCGCGGGGGGCAGCAGTGGGGGGCTACCCGCGCTGGCTGTGAACGGGTTACTCAGTCTGCTGGGAAGTTGACACGGAGATCTGGGGTTCAGAGGCACTCCTCGGTAGAAATAAAGTAGGGGTTCCGGCATGTGGAGGTAGAGCTCAGCCAGGAAGTGGAGGGAGGAGGCTCGGAGGGTCTTTGGAGCAGAAAGACCGAAACCTGAAGGCTACAGGCTCAACGCCAGCAGCAAGGGGCTGGAGGAGGTGCACAGAGAGGCGGGAGGAGGGCCAGCAGGCCAGGCCCGGTGGCCAGGGGACCGAGTGTCGAGAAGTAGACAGTGACCAGTAGGTCTCCTGCCACCAAGAAAGGTCCACGAGAAGCCTGCGGGAGTCACAGTGCCTTTTGCTTACGATGGGTTTACAAGTCAATGTAAGAACCTNGGGGAGGAGGGCCAGCAGGCCAGGCCCCGGTGGCCAGGGGACCGAGTGTCGAGAAGTAAACAGTGATCAGTAGGTCTCCTGCCACCAAGAAAGGTCCACGAGAAGCCTGCGGGAGTCACAGTGCCTTTTGCTTACGATGGGTTTACAAGTCAATGTAAGAACCTTGGTGGGACGTGAGGAATTTTCCTTCAAGTGTGTGATCTTGAAGGAGAGAGATTGGTGGCAAAGCAGAGAAAGGGTTTAGATGAGTTAGTTGAGAGGACAGAACAGACCACAGTGGGAAGTGACCAGAGTTCCAGAAGAGCTGGGAAGAACAGGCCCAGCGTGCAGCCAACAGGGCTAGTGGGCTTTAAATGGAGACAAGGGGTGCCCAACCCCTCTCTACCTGCCACCCTCAGCCAGACCACCCTTGGCCCCTTCCATGTTGTCTCAGCAACCCCTGCCTCCCCACCTCACCCCCACCCAAGCCGAGCTGCTCCCTGCTGCCTGACCTCTCTCAAATGCACATCCCATAGGACCTTCCTCCCCCATAGGATCCTGCAGCTCACTCATTCAGCAACTCTTGATGAAATGCTCTGGGTGCCAGGGACACAGCAGATGGATATTTTGATTTTAGAAGTTACACATGTCAACCTTACACATTTTGGAACAGAATAGCTGTCGATCCCCAAAGTTAATTTTTTTATGTCCATTCTTTCAATAAATTATATTTGCTCATATATACATTTTTATTTTCAAAAATTATACAGTAGATATTATTTTATTATCTTCTTTTTCACTTAATATCACATCTTCTTAAGCATTCCATTTCCTGGTGGCATGGGACAGCGTCATCTGTTTGTTTCAGATGATTATTAGCAATGGCTCTCCTTGTGGCTAGGTTGTTGCGCATGCCTTTGAGTGTTTCCTTAGGATAAATTCTTAAAAGTTAAGTGACCAGGTCAAAAGGCATGAGTGTGTTAAATTATAATTTAATGAACATATTGTCTTATCCTTGGATGTAAAATTTGTCACCAACCAGCCATAAGAAAGCACTCCTCTTTCAAATTCAGCCAGGCCTGTAGACAGGAATCCTTTGGCTCCTATTACTGAGTGGGACGAGACTGGTCTGGATGGTTTCTGGGCCATGATGGCATGGCAGGTTGTGAATGTTTCATGGAACTCCCATTTCTCAGTCTTCATCACTGAGGAGGAAGCCCAAAGCGTCTTGCACAGGCAAAGGCGTGCCAACTGGTTCCTGGAGGAGCTGAGGCCGGGCTCCCTGGAGAGAGAGTGCAAGGAGGAGCAGTGTTCCTTTGAGGAGGCCAAGGAGATCTTCAGGAACCCTGAGAGATTGGTGAGTTCACCCTCTAGGGGGCGCCCTCTGAGTCACCAAATATGTAGACCAGCGTACTGAGTCTTTAGGAAGGGACAGCAGGGCTCATTCCCATGTCTTGGGGACCAAGTCTCTTCACTTCTGTGGCTGTGAGTGCTACATGCACAGGTGAACAAACAGGTGGCTCCGGTATACACTGACCCTCTGTGTCTGGGTCATTTTTCTTCCTAAGAATGACTTCACTTTCCTCAGTCAGAGCTCCTACAATGCTCCATAACTCCCCTCTGTTTCCAGAGACATCCTCCTCTCTGCCACACCTGCATCCTAAATTTTGCATCAGAAAAAATAGTTTGAAAAGCACACTTGATGTGTCCCTTGCCTTCCCAGTCCCCTGGAGCTGCCCCTGCTTCACAGAGATACTGCTGACAGAGCAGATGTCTGAGACACTGGGGGAGCCTCTCACTGCCACACAGCAACTTCAGGGAAACTTGTGTGAGGACACACTCGGAACCACTGCCTCCTCTACCTGCCCTTGGGCAGTATGGATGGAGTGCTCTTCATTTCTGATTTCATTTTCTAAAAGAGCATATTTAAAATGTATCACATTCCTTTGAACACTTCAATAGGCATGTGGGTCAATTATGATAAGACCACACTTCACACTCATCAAGACACACACCTCACCTCGCACTCACAGGACACACACCTTACCTCATTCTCAGTCAAGACACATGCCTCACTTCACACTCGCAGGACACCTCACACTCAACAGGATGTGGGCTATTTGAGACAGAGAGAGGCTAGCATGACCCTTTCTGTGCAAGTTGAAAATGGTCATACTTTGGGCTATATACCAGTTAGATTTCCCAAAGCAGTTTCAGCAGTTTTTATCTTGTTTTGTTTTCATAGCAAGCCTGTGAGTTTAAGTGCAGTTGGCCAAAAGATTCCTCAGGGTGTCAGTGCTATTGGTGGAGCCCTCGGCAGGTCCTAGGACACCCTCACACCCATTGCTCACCTCCTCGGGCGGCCCCTGCGCATGGATGGTCACCCACCGCCCAAAGAGGAACTGGAGGCTCACAGCGCCTATGTGTCTTGTCCCAGGCTGACAACTCAGAGGTGGCAGGGTTGGGGCTAGTTGGGGCTGAATCTTGGGTGTTTTGACTTGGGAGAAGGAAATTTGTGACCTCTGGTGGCCCTAAGGACCTGGGGTAAGGTAGAAGGGAATAGGAAAAACCTTTCTCGCCCAGATGAACCCTCTTCACCTCCAGAAGAGAGCCTGGCTTCCAGAGCCCACTGAGAAGGCCCCCAGGTCAGAAGCTCCCGGCCCACCCCTGTCCACCTCAGTTCATCAATTCATTTCATGGATGCCATAAATGTCTTCTTTGGGTGAACATATGTCTCATGTGGCTTCCTCTTTGTTCCCTCAGGCACAATTCTGGATGTCCTATAATGGTGAGTAGGTAAATCGCCCATTTATAGGCCACCTTCAAGCCCTTTTCCTCAGCATACTAACACTGACTCACTCCACAGAAGGGGACCAATGTGCCTCAAATCCATGCCAGAATGGAGGCTCCTGTGATGACCAATTGCAGTCCTACATCTGCTTCTGCCCTGAAGATTTTGAGGGCCGGAACTGTGAGAAAAGTGAGAAATCCCATACCTTGCAGACACGGTTCCCAGGGAGGCTGATGGGCATGGCCTGGTCAGGCATGGAGCTGGCCCTTAGTCCCAGGGGGAAGTTGGTCCAGGTGACTTTGAAGCCTTCAGTCAATCCAAGAACCTTGGCTCTGGAGTTCTAAGGTGCCAATTCTCTAATTTGACCACCCCCTGTTCCCTTCTGGGAAATATCAAACCCTTGGGCTCCAAGCACTGGGAAATTCTGATACATCTGGAAAGGGCACAGGTGAGAATCACTACATCACTGCCCAGCTTCCACATATTTTGCCAGCCAAGACAGTTGGGTAAACTTGACCTTCCTTACTTGCTATTACAAAGGTATGAGATATTTTTTTCACCTTCCATATATTAAAGTATTGCAAAGTTCAGGGGTCTCCCAGACCATTCTTAAGTTTAATAATCTGCTGGAAGGAACCATGGAACTCACTGAAAACTGATATGTTCACAGTTATAGATTATTATAGCAAAAAGATACAGACTAAAATCAGCAAAGGGACCAGGCATAAACTTCCAGTTGTCCTCTCCCAGGCAGTCATATGGACAGTCTTTCATTCTCCAAGGCTGATATGTGATGAGATCTGTGGAGTGTCACCAACCCAAGTAGCACACCTGAGCCTGGGTGCCCAGAGATTTTACTGGGGCTCAGTAACATAGACATGGCTGACCACCCACATGGCTGACCTCAGTCTCCAGCCCCTCCAGAGGCTGAGCTGATATCCTGTGACCCAAAGCCCGGCATGAATAACATTATTAGACCACCCAGTGTGAGCCAAGGGACCCAGGGAATTAATACTCTTTTCAGGCAGATTAAAAGTGCCCAGCTTAAGCAGGGTGCAGAGGTCACTTCCCAGGAGCTGAGAGCAAAGGCCAGGCTTCTCCTTGGGCAAGGTTTATCCTTTCCCACACAAATGTACATTCTGACGCTAAACAAGCTCTTCTGGGTCACAGCCAACTTCTACTCTAAGTGGCACAGAGGCCAGATAGAGTACAGGGAAGACCAAGGAAAGTGCCTTCCTGTCAGTTACATGGGGCTAGAAAGCCTCAAGGTCTTTGCCTGGCCTTTGATGTTCAGCAACCCTGGTGTGAATTCACTTACAAAACCAGCCTTCCCAGTGGGGATCCTGGATGTACACAGCAAGCCAGCCCTGTTTCCCACACCAAATGCTGCCCTTCAGAGTCAGGTCAACGTTCCTCCTCTCCGCCTGTTAGAACCAATGGTCACTGGGCCTCAGGGCCTGGCTGTAGAGCAGTCTCATCTCTCTGACCTTTTATTGGCAGGCCTCTGATTGAGTTGGGCTCTTCTACTGTCCCCAGGTGACATTTACTCTCCCCAAACCCGCCCCAGCTCCCCACCACCTGCTGGGAGGGGTGATAACGTGGAGACCACAGCACGCTGGCCCTCTCTCCCCACTGGTTAGGCGGCTCAGACATGGGTGATATGCCAAACACCAGGTCCCACCCCTCTGGTTCAATCTGCAGAGTGGGGTAGTGCCAGGCTCAGTCCCTGCAGTTGGCAGCTGAGAGCCACCTTCCTGCAGAAAGCTGCCTCTGGCCCAAGGAGGGGTGGCCACCAGGGCCGGCTTTCCCTGCCCAGCAGAGGCCTGTCTCAGGCTGTCTCCTTCTGTACTCAGACAAGAACAGCGAGCTGATCTGTGAGAATGAGAACGGGGGCTGCGAGCAGTACTGCAGCAATCACGCAGAAGCCAAGCGCTCCTGCTGGTGTCACGAGGGGTACGCACTCCAGACCAACGAGGTATCCTGCGCACCCACAGGTAAAAAGCCCTCAGGGTTCTGCTCCAAGGGCTGTGTGCTGTTTCACTTCCAGATGAGCAGTCACCAATTCCTGCCCTGCCACGAGTTCTCTTCTTAGCTAAGAAGTGGTGACATACCATTAACTGAGCATCTACTATGTACTGACCACTACATGCTCAGAGGAAGGGAGAAGACGGAGGGTGGAGGTGGCTCCCCTGACCAGAGGGCAGGCCAGGGTAACTGGGGCAGGACAGAGCCCTGGAAGCAGCTCCCTGGATGGGCCTCAGACCCCCTGCCCATCTTAGGTGGGCCCAGAGGAGCAGAACAAAGCTCTCCCCACCCCCCTGCCAGTTCCCTCTGCTGGAACTACACTGCCACATCCAAGTGTGACTACTGACTACAGCACAATTCTGGATTCCAATTCCTTTGTAAAGGCAAGCACTTTTAAGAAAATGGAAAATTTCTCCAAACCAACCTCAAACTAATGGGGCTGCAATTCCAAAGGCTGAGGCACCCCAAGACCTGTGTCTGTTAGGAAGAAAGTATACCCAGCATGGTCAAAGCAGCCTGAAATTCAGTAGCCACCTCTAAACACTTTCTTTTCTGGCCCAAGGACATTGTTGGAGTGGGATCAAAATAGCCACATAGTTGTCTGAGAAGCTGAGTGATCTTTAGACAGAATATCATTTACCTTTTAGGAAATTCAAGCCTCATGTCATCTTTCCCCAGAGAAATTAGCAGAACCCAGTATTAAGAAGTAAGGGCCTCTGTTCCAGCAAAACCAGTCCCTGCCCCTTCTGCTCATCCAGCAGCTCCCACAGGGGCCTCCAGCACTCACAGGCTTCCTTCAGTCACCAAGCAGGAGCCAGAGGCAGAGCCACTGCCTGCAGGGCTCAGAGCCCTCTTCTCATTAGCACGTTCATCCCTCACAAATGCCCACATCTTGCTGACTTTTGTTTTATACAGTTAAATATCCATGTGGAAAAATACCTGTTCTGGAAAAAAGAAATGGCCAACCCCAAGGCCGAATTGTGGGTGGCAACGTGTGTCCCAAAGGGGAGTGTCCCTGGCAGGTAAGCCTTCAGGGTCCCAGTGACCTCTCAAAGGGAAAGTGGGCAGGTCAGCCTCAGGGGTCATACACCATGTCACCCCTGCTCACAACAGTGTTTCAGTGCATTTCCTCTTTATTCTGAAGTCCCGTTGTTGACAACAGCCTCCATTCATCTCAGGTGTCAATGCTCCCAGCAGCACCTGTCAGCTCATTTGTGCTCCTCAATGGCTTCATCACAGGCTGCTAGTCTCACTCCTCTTTTATAGATGAGGAAACTGAGGTCATACAACTAATAAATGGCCAAGGTAGATTTGAGCCCAACTCTCACCTTCNGTGCTCCCAGCAGCACCTCTGTCAGCTCATTTGTGCTCCTCAATGGCTTCATCACAGGCTGCTAGTCTCACTCCTCTTTTATAGATGAGGAAACTGAGGTCATACAACTAATAAANATGCTCCCAGCAGCACCTGTCAGCTCATTTGTGCTCCTCAATGGCTTCATCACAGGCTGCTAGTCTCACTCCTCTTTTATAGATGAGGAAACTGAGGTCATACAACTAATAAATGGCCAAGGTAGATTTGAGCCCAACTCTCACCTTCCAAGCTCCACCTACCTTCTGGAAGCTGTGATTTTTTTTGTATGCCAGATATTGTTTTATCTTTCTATTTTTTAACTACCATCCCAAAGCCCCCTCCCCTTTGGCAAACTTATCAGCTTGTTTTCTATATCTATGGGTCTGTTTCTATTTTGTTTATTCGGGTTTTTTTGTTTTCTTAGATTCCACATATAAGTGAGATCATACAGTATGATTTTTGATCTGTAACAAAGTCCTTCAGCAGGCCCGGAGGCCGTCCCCCGCATGTGGTCAGGTCTGTGGGCCATGACCGCTCCAGGGCATCTCTCTGCAAGTCTACCTATGAGCCTGGTCCCAGTTGGAAATGCAGAGTCTCAGGTTCCCAGGCCTAATGGGACAGCATAAGAGCCAGAGATGTATGCACACTCAAGTGTGAGAAAAGCGGCCACTCTGAGACCTACAAACTCAGGTCTGAGCCCGCATCAGTGGCTCCTCTTTAACCTTTCATTCTGAGACACCCCAAGTTAAACAGCCAAGAATTTGTAGAAGTAAAAGTAAATGAATGAGAACCTATAAAGGAAATTGGAGAATCGCCATTCTCAGCCTGACTTCAGGCTTAGGGAAACTCCAATCATTTCCTTGCCCAGCAGTCTGGCCCTCCAGATCAGCCTCAGAAGAAGTTGCACCCACCTGCCTCCCCCTGCTCCATCTCACCTCCCACAGCAGTTGGAGCCGAGGTGGGGCCTTTGCAGCCCAGGGCCTGCTCCTCAACTTTGTAGAACCCTGGCTTTGGTGTTCAGAGGAATAATCTGAATTAGACACATCCAAATAGGACTGATGTGTCCACCAGAGTCCCCATAATTGGGTGGCAAAGCCTCTCTGAGGCAGAGGCAGAGCTGGCTGGAGTGGGTTTCTGTGAATTAAAGTGGGGAGCACTCAAGTGGGCTTGCTGGGAGTGGCTGCAGCAGACACTGCTAGAGCATGCACTCCCTGTGCTTGGTCCCACCAAGACCTCACTTCTCAAATCATTTAACCCCCACAATCCCACCCGAGAGGTAAGTGCAACTCTCACCCCATATAGGTGAGGAAACTGAAGTCCAGTCAGAGTCAGTGCCTTGCCCATGTCAGAGCTGAGAGTTGGGCCCGGGAGGTCCAGATCTAGCTTGTTGCAACCACCCCAGAGGTCTCTTGTAGCTGCAGCTGCAGATTCACCGTCAGCCAGGGCAGGGTTAAATTTTCAGGGGTCTTCAACCTGAACGGACCATGGTCCTGAGCTCAAAGGTAGCTCTTTTCATCCATCCTGAGACCATTTTACTGCGTTTTTTTTCTCTGAGGGGCCAGTTTGGAGGAGATAGACACCACCCAGGTACCCTTTGTCCTGCTGTCCACAACATTAAGCTTTAGACGGACAGACCCCATTTCCAGTCTCTTCCCTCTCTGGTTGATCTGACTTCACCACAACACATGGTGACAGTTGAAAACCAGACTAGGACTGTTCACTGGTGGGTCCACCTCCCCCTCAGCCAGGCCTCCTCTGGCCTTGCAATTCCTTGCTGTCTGCAGGCCAGCCTGGCCAGAAACCTTGGCTCCTTTCCCACTCATCGTGGGAGAATCTCACAGGAAATATGTCTCCACCCAGGATTCACTCAAGGACCCACTCAGCACCCTCTGTGCTTTTAGGAAGAGAAAGAGGAAAGGAAACATTTATTGAGCATCTACTGTGTGCCTAGAACTGTGCTCGGTGCTTCACTCTGCTACTTCATTTACCCCTCACATGCTCTAGGAGCACAATGCTTGTCCTGATCTTTGCCAGTCGGGAGTGTTGGGTCAAACTTGGAGGACAGCACTGGGAGGTGCACACAGGGATCCAGCACCAGCAGCTCCATTGCCAGGGCAGTGTCCATGAGCTCTCTCTTCCCTTAGCTAGTCAGGGAAACAACCTGCTGGAGAGCAGTTGGAACAGCTTTGCCCAGGAAGTATTCTGGGAGTCCCCCAGGATTTCACAAACCCTCCTACAAATGCAGCCCATCCCCAAGGCTGCAGGGGAAAGCTGAGTCTCCAGGAAGGGAACCCCAAGGACAATAATGTGACTTTCCAACGACTTTTATTCCCTTGTCAGGCTATGCTGAAGGTGGACGGGGTGCTGCTGTGCGGGGGCACCCTGATTGGCTCCACCTGGGTGGTCTCCGCAGCCCACTGTTTTGACAAAATCAAACTGAAGAACCTGACGGTGGTACTGGGTAGGTTTTGTTTTTACCTCCTTCTGACGAGAGACCAGTTCTTGAGTGATAACAACTCGGGGCTAAGATTCGCAGCATCAATCTTCCAACTTGCACAACCAGATGAACTTCTCCAAACAGAGAAGCAGGCAGTGTCTGGACAAACCCCAATGTCCACAAGGAGCCACTGTGGCCACCCCCCCCAGCCTCTTTTCCACCCCAAATAAAGATATGGGGGTGATGCTGTACCCACCTGTCCTGCTTGGGCCAAGAGTCCTGAGGGGGATGCAGCCATCCAGGGCTCCATGGGCCACCATGGGCTGGCCTCTGCTGGGTGGAATTATGGGAAGATGAGAACCCCCAGGGAGGGCAGTCTGGAGTGGAAGAACCAGGCAGTCCTCCCCACCTGCCCACAGTTGCCTGGCCCAGCACCCCAGGTTCCAGATTCATCCCCAAGTCTGGCTCTCCATAGAGCCCAGTGGTGGCCACCGAGACCAGCTTGGGGTTGGACACAGGGCCCCTCCTGCCCCAAAGGAAGTTCCAACCCTTTTGAGGTTTGGGAAGAGTCACTCCCTAAGACTGCGGGGGGTGGGTGTAAGCGGCGCTGGTCTTCCCCCAGGTGAGCACAACCTGAGTGAGGAGGATGGCGACGAGCAGGAACGGCAAGTCGTTCAGGTCACTGTCCCCAGCAAGTACATCAAAGGCAAGACGGACCATGACATCGCCCTGCTCCGCCTGAGCAGACCCGTGGTCTTCACCGACTACATAGTGCCCCTCTGTGTACCCGAAAAGGCCTTCTCCGAGAGGACGCTGGCCTTCATTCGCTTCTCCACCGTTAGTGGCTGGGGCCAGCTCCTAGACAAGGGCGCCACATCCCTGGAGCTCATGGCCATCGATGTGCCCAGAGTGATGACCCAGGACTGCCTGGAGAAGTCGAAAATGAAACAGGACTCCCCGAAGATCACAGAGAATATGTTCTGTGCTGGCTACCTAGATGGGAGCAAGGATGCCTGCCAGGGGGACAGCGGGGGCCCGCACGCCACCAAGTTTCAGGGCACATGGTATCTGACAGGCGTTGTCAGCTGGGGTCTGGGCTGTGCAGCTGAAGGCCACTTAGGGGTGTACACCAGGGTCTCCCGGTACACCGAGTGGCTCCACAGGCTCATGAGCTCCAAAACACCCTCAGAAGGCTTGCTACAAGCCCCATTCCCGTAGTCCCTCAGTGTCAGCTCCATGGACCCTGCTCTTGCTAAATCAAGCTGCTGTTGCTTGGGTTGTCCTGGCTTCAAATCCTGTAAATTCTTCTGTCCTTATTGGGGTGGGGAGAGGGAGAGGGAAGGAGAGAAACAGAGAGACTGAGAGATACAGAGAAGGAAAGAGAGAGAGAAGGAGGGATGGAGAGAGACGGAGAGATGCAGAGAAGATGGAGACAAGCCTAGAGAAAGACCTAGGGGAGGGGGGAGAATGAGAGGCGGTGAGAGAGACGGAGAGACAGACAGCAACTAAGGGGAGAGATTCTAAGGAGATGGGGAGAGAAAGAGACTCTGCATACTTTCTGAGGGCTGTCTTTTAACATTCTTTTTTTCTCTCTTATACAAGTATTTCATCTTTGTTTCAAATAAATTGGAAGCATCATCCGTTCACTTTGGTGGCTATCCTTCCAGATTTGTTCTGTATATGTATCTTTGGCCATAAAATAGGCTACATAAAAGGCTCTACCTTCCATTTGCCACCCATTCTCCCCGCGGGCAACAAGCCGCTGAATCTGCTCAGCGCGTGTTTTCCGGCAGCCTGCCTTCCTGGACTGGCCTTTTCATTTCATTGAGACCCTGGCGCGTATCATCAAGCTGTTGGTAACGCCACAGAAATGAACCTTTTTACCTGGAGGCTGGTTTTTAAAACCCGAGAGCTCTCTGGATAGATTTTGGAGGCTGTGGCTCCCAAAACCCTATAGAACTGGGCGTTCTTTTCCTGCAAAGACCCTCGTCAATGACAGTCCTCAAAGACAGTCCCTGGGGACACCCGCCTGAGAGCCACCAGGGACTCTCCACAAAATGCATGTTCCCACGTCCTGCCCAGGATGGTAGGACCTAGTGAGTTACATGCTTATTGAGTCCCTCGGGTGATTACGGGCACACTAATCCGAGGGCCACACAGGTCGCAGGTAGCCTGCCATCAAGAGTAAAACGCGAGGAAACAAGATGGCGGCGTAGGGAACCGCAGCACCCGCCGCCTCCCGCAACCACCTCAAAATTACAGCTAAAATACAGAACCACCGTCACTCAGAGCCTCCTGAAATCCGGCTGAACAGAAGCCCCACAACCAGGGAACTGAAGGAGCATCGAGACGGTAGGAGGGGCAGAGACGCGGGCGGACGGGGCTGGATTGTGGAGACGCGGCCGCGGGCCCACACCCGGTGCGGCGGTTGAAACCCGGAGGGAATCTTGACGGTGTAGGTTTCCCGGAGGAGTGAGGGGCCCCAGCCCCACACCAGCCCCCAGCCCAGGGCTCCAGGGCCGGGAGGAGACATCCCACAGCTCCAGGCTGTGAAACCAGCGGGGACTGTCCCTGAGGGTCGCGGAGGCTNGGTAGGAGGGGCAGAGACGTGGGCGGACGGGGCTGGATTGTGGAGACGCGGCCGCGGGCCCACACCCGGTGCGGCGGTTGAAACCCGGAGGGAATCTTGACGGTGGAGGTTTCCCGGAGGAGTGAGGGGCCCCAGCCCCACACCAGGCCCCCCAGCCGAGGGCTCCAGGGCCGGGAGGAGACATCCCACAGCTCCGGGCTGTGAAACCAGCGGGGACTGTCCCTGAGGGTCGGGAGGCTGCGGGAGCCCCAGCAGCTCCTCTAAAGGGCCCGGCAC